AAAGTATTGGAGTTTCAGCTTCAACATCAGTCCTTCACTTTCTTTCTTTCTATAGTTCCTTTTGGAGAAGGAAATGGCAACCCACTCCAGTATTCTTTCCTGGAGAATCCCGTAGACAGAGGGGCCTGGTGGGCTTCAGTCTATGGGGTTGCAGGGAGTCAGACATGACTAAGCAACTAACATACACACACACACACACACACACACACACACATTGGATCATGGAGAAAGCAAGGGAGTTTCAGAAAAGCATCTACTTCTGTTTCATTGACCATACTAAAGCTTTTGACTGTGGATCAAAACAAACTGGAAAATTCTTAAAGAGATGGGAGTACCAGACCACCTTGCCTGTCTCCTGAGAAACCTTTATGCAGGTCAAGAAGCAACAGCTAGAACCAGACATGGAAAAACTGACTGGTTCAATATTGGAAAAGGAGTATTGCTGCTCTGCTTATTTAACTTATATGCAGAGTACATCATATAAATGCCAGGCTGGATGAATTGCGAGCTGGAATCAAGATTGCCTGGAGAAATATCAACAACATCAGATGTGCAAATGATACCACTCTAAAGGCAGAAAGTGAAGAGAAACTAAAGAGCCTCTTGATAGGGTAAAAGAGGAGAATGAAAAAGTTGGTTTGAAATTCCACATAAAAACAAAAACAACTAAGACCCGTGGTCTATGAAGTCCCATCACTTCATACTCACAAACAGAAGGGGGAAAAGTAGAAGCCGTGACAGATTTTATTTTCTTGAACTTCAGAATCACTGCAGACAGTGACTTCAGCCATGAAATTAAAAGACACTGGCTCCTTGGAAAGAAAGGTATGACAAACCTAGACAAAGTATTGAAAAGCAGGGACATCACTTTGCCAGTGAAGTTGCATATAGTCAAAGCTATAGTTTTTCCAGTATTCATGTACAGATGGAAGAGTTGGACCCTAAAGAAGATGAAGCACCAATGAATTGATGCTTTCAAATTGTGGTGCTGCAGAAGACTCTTGAGAGTCCCTTGGACAGCAAGGAGATCAAACCAGTCAATCCTAAAGGAAATCGACCCTGAATATTCATTGAAAGGACTGTTGCTGAAGCTGTAGCTCCAATACTTTGGCCATCTGACATGAAGAGCTGACTCATTGGAAAAGACTCTAATGCTGGGAAAGATTGAAGGCAAAAGGAGTTGGCAGAGGATGAGATGGTTGGACAGCATCAATGACTTATTTGAGCAAACTCTGAGAGATTGTGGAGGGGAGAGGAGCATGGCATTTGCAGTCCATGAAGTTGCAAAGAGTCAGAAATGACTTAGTGACTGAACAATAACAACAAATAATGGATGCTATTCAAAGAAATACATGTTGATTTACGATGGTCTCCAGAAGACAGCATTAAAGAAGGTACAATGTATAGATTTTTCAATACTCTGAATCACTTGCTGAAAAGAAGTTAAATTTAGAATTAAGAATATGGACATTAGAATTTTGGCCTTCTCTTGACTCAACAAAGACTTTGCCTATAGCTTCTTAGAGCATAATGTATTGTCTCTTCTGAAATATATGGCTGACATGGTCCTATGTACACAGACTGCCCAGTTGTTCAACAGGCTCATTGACCACCCCGCCACAGGTATTATCCACATAGACTTTATGTTGGTCCTAACCATCAGGTTAAGTTTAGTAAGTCTACTTCTTACACAAACCAATATTCACTCATAACTGATATTCAGTCATTCCACAAACCTTTATTGAACCCTAGGTTACAGGTGAAGGTAGGGTGAAAAGATGGTACAGATATGTTTCCTCCCCAAGGTCCCCTTCATCTAGGAGAGGTGACAGGTGGCAAAAACTCTGTCCTTGTCCAAACTTTAGTCAGGCTCCTCTGAGCCCTACCCTAGTCTCTACTAGGCCTTGACTTTGAGCTCCATCCTTGACTTGCCAAGCCAAGCAAAGAGCTTTGCTAAGTCAGCTCAGCAAGAATCCTCGCCTTTGATATGTGATCAAGTTCCTCATCTTCCACCCTTGATGTCTAAGTCCTTGACCTTCCATTAGCAATAATGCTATTAAATGAGTTGAGCAAAAATTCCTCTACGCTTGATGTCTAACGAAGTTTCCCTTAGTAATTTTCCATCCACTGACTTCCTTATTCTGTGTTTTGGCTATAAATCTCCAGTTGTCTTTGCTGTATTCAGAATTGAGCCCAATCCTATAAAGGGGGGCTCTCCTTCCCCTACTGCAACAGCTCAAATAAAATCTGTTGCCATTTTTAACAAGTGTCCAGTGAATAATTTCTATTTAAAACAAGCCTGCATATAGTAAACATAGTGTAATAAATAATACTTGCTTCCATTCCTTGGGCTCCTAAAAGTAATGGTACCAATATTTAGGGCTTCCCAGGTAGCTCAGTGGTAAAGAATATGCCTGCCAATGTAGGAGATGCAAGTGTGATCCCTGGGTCTGGAAGACCCTCTGGTGGAGGAAACGGCAACCCACTCTGGTATTCTTGCCTGGAAAATTCCATGGACAGAAGAGCCTGGTGGGCTACAGTCCATGGGGTCACAAAGAGTCAGACATGACTGAGTGACTAAACAACAACAACAACCAAAAGCTAACATTGATTGAGTATTACTTGGGGTCAGGCACTGTGCTGCATACTTTGGCAGCCATATTCCCTGGAATCTCTTATCAAATACCAAGCTCGCAGGGAGACTAGGACCTGGTTATTTCTGCTCAATGCAAAAATCATCTAAAGACAATCTTGGAGTCAGAGCTCCCTTTCAGCCTAACCAAGACCTACTCAGAGCCTGTGTTCCTTCTGCGGATCCCTGCTTCCTTCCTCCTCTCCTTTCACAAATGTCAGAACTGCATTGCAGTCTGCAGCTATCCATGATGACTCCTGCTCTCTTTCCCTGTATATTTCAGAGGTGCTCCCCCCACAATAAGTCTCTTGTACTTATATTAATAACCCTGTATTCACATCTGCTTCTTGGTGGATCTGAACTGATAAATACACATTACATCATTTAATCTTCACCACAACCTTGTGAAGTGGATTATAACAATTTTATAACAATTGTATTGTATAATTGTATTGTATAATTGTTATTATAACAATTTTTTACACTGAAGTATAGTTGATTTACAATGTTGTTGGTGTTAGTTTCAGGTGTATAGCAAAGTAGTTCAGATATACATTTTTCATGTATTATTTTATATTCTTTTCCAAGTCAGCCTCCATCATTCATTGGCTGTAGGATCTTGGGCTGGATGTTCAACCTTCTGGAACCTCTAAGAACTGAGTCAAGAGGTTCAGAATGTGATAAAGCTTATTAAAGTGCTAAAGCCAATACAAAGAGTATTATGAGCAATTTTCAGACTAATAAAGAGAACAAGGAAAGGACAGGTCCAGGACAAGGAAATGAAAAACAAATGTTTACAGAGAGTGGAGGACTAGTGGTTAGGACCATGGACTCTGGAATGGGACTATCTGGGTTTAGATCCAGCTACAGCCACTTACTAGCTGTGTGATTTCAGGCAAGTTATTAATATTTGGCCTCCCTCAGTTTCCTCATTTTGTAAGATAGTGGTGGCAGTGCTACCTACTTAATAGTGTACCTTTGAGGATTGAAGGAGTTTACAAATATATTGCACTTAGAACAGTGTCTACCATACATTAAGAGTAATGTCAAATATTAGCTTTTTTTTTTCACCCTCTGGGATCTATCTTGGTTATCACCCAGGACCACAGTATAACTATGTCCAAGTCTTGAACCCAGCCTGTCTTACTGTCTACCTTATATCTGCCCAATACTGTCTCTTTAAATTAAACTGACCCTCCCATAGGTTATTAAAAACAAAAAACAGCAAGACAGAGATTTGGACAAAAGCCCTGGAGTGTCTAGTCAGGGTTCCAGCAGAAAACAGATGGCATACTCGATTAGGATAATAGGATTATTTACAAAGTTGTGGGCAGCATACAGGGAAACCACAGGGGATCATGAGGCTCCCTGAGGGCTAGTTATGGCGGGGCTCCCTGACGTCTGTAGGTCTGAAGGGGAAGGGGAAGGAGAGGTTAACAGAGCCAGAAACACAACAGGGACGCAGACCCGTGATTGAGGGATGCACACACCTCATGATGGTCTGAAGAAAGGAATCTGCGGGAGCAAATGACTTCACCTCCTTCTCCCTCCTCCCCACCCCCCTTCCAGTCTCCTGCCTGTCTTGCCCATTGGCTGTTCCCGTTCAGAAACCAGATGATAAGAGATTCATTTACTCTTGGTGTTGGTCTGCCTCCCGGGGCACAGAGCATGATGAAGAATGGTAGAGAGTGTCTGAAAAGGGCTAACAGAAGTTACCCAACAGAAATTTTAGACTCATAGCATCATTTGTTCTCTGCTTTATGCTCCCTTCTTAACTTCTCATGGTTCCTGAACTCCTGGCTTTGGGACTCAGCTTTAATTTTACTCCATGGACCTGATTACAGATTGGGCCCTCCAGTTGTATTCTGTATCATCTCTCTTAGAAGGGGCATCTGTTCTAACCCATGCCCTTAAACCCTGCCTCATGTTCACCCAACATGGCCCTGCAGGCACAAAGCAAGTCCCACACTGTGCTGTCTATTCTGTTCTAGCTCTTATCTGCCTGATTCCAAAAACTTGATTATACTACCTATAAAATACATAAACAACGTGGACCTACTGTATAGCACAGGGAACTATCCTTGATATTCTGTAGTAACCTATAAGGGAAAAGAATTTGAAAACAAACAAATATATATATATATAAAACTGAATCACTTTGCTGGACACTCAAAACAAATAGAACATTGTAAATCAACTATACTCCAATTTTAAAAAGTCATAAAGGGAAAGAAAAAGAGATAAAGAAGATGCATTAAAAAAAACTGGTAGTTTTTAATGTTCACCATTACTTTAAAACTAGGGAAATATTAAAAACAAACAAAAACCCCAAACCTGATTATATTCTTTGGTCTTGACATCTGTGTATCTGGTTATATACTGGCTTCTCTGTGGTTTTAGAGGCTCTGCTAGATCTCTTGGCTTCTGTGCCTGTCTGTTTCAGATGGAAGTGCCCCATTCCTTGAATCGCCCAGCTGCTGGGACAATCCACCATGCTGAGCTGTAAGACAGAGAAACATGATATTTTGCACTTAACGTTGAGCTATATTTACTCACTATCACAGCAAGTGACCATCTCTCTGATCACACCGGATCTTCGAAACAATCATAGGAGGTGTGTATCATTTTTGCTCCATTTTTAGTAAACTAAACTCTTGGTAAAGTGAAGTGACCTGCCAAATGACATCCAGTTGGTAACGACCAGGAACTAGGCTACCTACTTCATATAAAACCTCTCACCACAATCTCAGCTCCATGACAAGGATTTTGTCTGTTTTGTTCATTACTTTTTCTCCAGCACTTAAAGGAGTATGTGTCCTAACAGGAGCTCAATAAATGTCTATTGAATAAATATTGAATGAATGATTCCATTGGACCCTCATTCCAACCCCAGAGGGGAAGTATGATTATTTTCCTCATTTTAGAGATGAAGAAATTTAGGAGGTTGAGAGAGTTTAAGTAGCTTCCTCAAAATCACATCTAGTTAGACTCTAACCCAACTGTGAGTCCAAGGCCATGCTCTAAAGGATGCTACTCTATGTGATTCAGGGACCAAGGCTGGATTGTTAATTGTCTCTGGTATGTGATAAGTATAGAAATTGATGGTGAGCTTTTAGAGACTCTTTTAATAGCAATTTCACATTGCTTTGGTTTTCCAGTATGTGATTGTGTCTTGTCTTATTTATTGTAAAAGAAGCTGACTAGGGTCCTGTTGAATTCAGAGACAGGTTGCTTGTGGTACAAAGTACAGGCCACTAGTAGGACTCTGTATCAATCCTCAGTTGATTAGCAATGAAAGAGGAGTCTAGGTTTTCCCCACAGATAGTTTGATAGGCACTGTTCTAATTTACTCCATTTGTGCCAAATGTCAACACATCATTCTTTCAAACGCAGCCCTACTACTAACCACAAGGGGAATATATGTTTTCATGTTTTTAGTTCCTTTCTTCTCTCATCATGCAAGCATTTACTGAGCAGTTTCTGTGTGCGAGGTCCTGCGTTGGGTGCTGGGGTTTAAGTTGGATATAGCTGGGCCTTGCCTATACAGCTGACCCTTGGAGTTTACACATTATTTGGTGTAGCTGCATGTTCATGGACCTACCTCTCTTGGGTAACAAAAAAATGATTTCAGGAGAAGTCTTATCAATGGAGAATGAGCTAATGAAGCCACTCAGGCTCTCTGTGGTGCTCTGGAAAAATACGAGTTCTTTCATTGTCACACTGTTAAGACTGCAGCCCTGAGATGAGGACTCAGAAGACATAGGGCATGAGCTGACTGACACAGTGAAACTGATCTTTTGTTCTGTTAGAACAGGGTGACATCGTGGTGAGCTGGTTTATGCTATTTGTGTCTGAAATACCAAGATTCTGACTACCTCCTGAATGTTTTAAAAGTGTATCAGAGACAGTGATCCCATGATGCTAGCAGAGGAAGTCACTGCAAAAGAAAAGGAACAATCAATGAAAATGACTGGTCAAAGCACTAAATCTTCCTGCAAAGAGCTCAGGGTTGGAATCAAACAGACTGTGTTTAAGTCTCAGGTCTGCAGCATGGTGGCCTGTGGCCGCATGCAAGTGACTTAACCTCCCGGGGGGGCAGAATCCTTATCTCGAAAATGAAGATAATAATTCTCACTCCCCACTGTGGTCGTAGGAATCTGTGCTATAAATTCAGTACAAGAATCCTGCTACAATGCTCCTAAGTAGCTGTGGTGATTGTTTTTGTTCATTTGTTTTGTTGTTTGTCATAACAGATACAAACCTGGGTGGGAGGGTCTGAAGCTGCACCCTTACCTGAGTCACGTGCAACAGATTGTCTGGGTTTGAATCTTGGCTCTGTTGCTTACTTACTGGCACATAACAGGTGCTATGCAAATGTTTATTTAAACTAAACTAAAAAGGTGGGTTTGATCCAAACAGGAAAGCAGAGTCTAAGCTGAGAGCTCACTGATTCAGCATTGATTTACTGAGGGCTTTGCATGGTGCTGGGCACTGGGGACAAAGTGTAAATAGTCTTGAGTTTCTACCTTTGTGGAGATCAAATCCAGGAGAGAAGGCGGGCAAAGCAAAAAGGAATTAAGTGGTGGGGGAAGATAATAAGAATATGAATGAGGAGGGTTTTGGATCAGAGAAGAAAGTCAACCTAAAGAAGGATGCTTATGCTTAATCACTAGGCAGATAAGAAAGGAACAACTTTCCAAGGATCAGACACATGACCAGGGTGGCACCTGACCTATATAGCCCTTGACATACATGTTAGAGCCGTCCTTTTGCTTGTCTGCCTCCCCACACCAGACAGTAAACTCCATGAGGTCAGGATCATCTGCTTTGCCCTCCACTGTTCTCCCATGGCCTCACAATGACATTTAGTATGTTCTTAATAAATATTTGTTAAATGAATGAATACATATTCCAGACCTATTTGCAAGAGGTCTCCTATTTTGAGTTGTAAAATGACAATAGCTAGTACACGGTAATCATTTAGTTTGTTCCAAATGCTGTTCTAAGTACTTTAAGCATTAGATTATTTCATCATTACAACAGCCTATAAACAGTCAGCAAATCTGTCAAGAAAATGTTGTTCAAACACTCTAATATGCACAGCAATGGGTGAGATGCTGGGGAGGAAAGAGAATATTGAGCTTGCCAGTGCTCTTCCATTGGCCTTTTCCAAATAGCTCCCTTCACTCCCTTTCTCTCCCTGCTTAAGTGGAATTTTGCTCCAAAAATCCAATCAGGCAAATCCTCTGCCAAAGGCCTTTCCACGATCTTGTGGGAATCAGGGTGTTTGTTCTCACTTACTCTGTGCTTCCTAACATCCTCTACCCACCTTGTAGCATGCAGAATTTCTTGGAATGGCCCTGAAGATCCCCCAGCCCCCTGAAGATCCCCCTGGAATCTGTAAATGTGATGAGCTGTCACTCTTATGACTGTGTTATAAGGCACAGCTGGGTTTTTAAAAAAAGAAGCATAGACAGGTGAGCCAGATATAATCATAAGAGCCCCTGAAAGTACAGTACTTTTTCAGGCTGGTGGCAGAAGAAAAGGCAGGAGAGGAAAGCAAGGAGATTTGGCAGAAGAGAAAAGCTAAGAGTCGAAATACAAGAAAGACTCCATCCTCCACTGCCTTGGAGATAAAGGGAAGGGGCCATGTGAAAAGGAAAGTAACTGACCTCTAGGGAGAGTGAGCAGTCAGCAAAGAAAGAAGCACCCTGGACCTACAGCCTCAAGGAACTGGATTTTGCCACCAACGTAAATTATTTGGAAGTGAATTCTTCTCCTTAGCTTCCACATAAGAGCCCAGGCCAGCTGACACCTGGACCTTGACCTTATGAGGCCCTAAAGCTGAAAACCCATATGAGTTCATCGAGGTACTGACCTATAGACTGTGAGCTAAGACATGAGCATTATTTTCAGCTGCTAAATTTGTGGTGCTTTGTTATAAGTTAGAAAACAAACACATCCCTTTATCCTACCATACTTCATGTAAATATCTGTTTACTTGTCTTTATTCCATCAGGGCTTCCCTGGTGGCTCAGGGGTAAAGAACCTTCCTGCCAATGCAGAAGACAGGGTTCAATCTCTGGGTCGGGAAGATCCCCTGGAGAAGGAAATGGCAACCCACTCCAGTATTCTTGCCTAAGAATTCCATGGACAGAGGAGGCTGGAAGGGTTGCAAAGAGTCGGACACAACTTAGTGACTAACAACAATTCCTCTCTAGACAGTGAGTTCTTTAAAGGCAAGGACTGCACCTTGAGTCTCTTTATCTTCAATGGGCAGCACAATGCCTGGCAGAGAGGAGATTCCCAGTAAATATTTGCCCTTGAACTAAAACAGATTCAAGCAAGGTTAGGGATCTGAACTGGACACACATAAAAAATGAGGGAGAATTTCAAGAGACAAAGTGACCCAGGGCTGGGCTGGTCTCCCATAACTGTCAGGGGAGGTCTGAGACTAGCATGGGTTGGAACATTCAGGGAAGACTTGAGCTTGTTCCTTATTCCATTAAATAGTTCCTCACTTCTCACTTCATGCTAGACATCTTATTCCCACTTGTGCAAAGTGAATCTGAGCTGGTGGCGAAGGAAATGGATCCTCCCGAAAGCTCCAGATGGAACTTTGAGGCATCACTTAAAAGTCTGTGCTGATGTTGCATTCTGAGTGGACAACCCACAGATGTTTAGCCTCCAGTAGGAGAAGGCAATGACAACCCACTCCAATACTCTTGCCTGGAAAATCTCATGGACGGAGGAGCCTGGTGGGCTGCAGTCCATGGGGTCGCTAAGAGTCAGACACGACTGAGCAACTTCACTTTCACTTTTCACTTTCATGCATTGCAGAAGGAAATGGCAACGCACTCCAGTGTTCTTGCCTGGAGAATCCCAGGGACTGGGGAGCCTGGTGGGCTGCCGTCTACGGGGTTGCACAGAGTCGGACACGACTGACGTGACTTAGCAGCAGCAGCAGCAGTTGCCACGAAACCTGGGAAAGACTCCTTCAGATGTGTTTACGGGCCTGTTCTAGGGAGCTGCCCAGGAAGTGGACCGTCCTCAGCAACTGTGACCCAGACCTGGAGCCATGTTTCTGCCTCTAAGGCATATTCAGACACAGAGAACCATCAAATGTGAGACCTCTAAAGTTACCAACTCCTATAGTTTACAGATGAGGAACCTGAGGAGCAGAGAGTGGATAGAACTGGCCTATGCTAAAGAGCAAATTAGTATGAGCTGGGTTCAGAGCTCAGGGTTTCTGATTCCCTAATCCACATCATCACTGCCTCCCAGCATCCATTTGATTAATGGCCTCAGGCTCTTATCCTTCCCCAGGGAATCTCCATCTTTACTCACCTAGAAATTTAAGAACTGAAAGGCAGAAAGAATGAATTTTTTTAGCTAATCCAAGCATGTATTGTAAATCATTGTTTTCTTTCTGATGTGTGGTATATAACCCTCTTCTTCAGCTAGCAGACATTTGGCATCTTTCCATGGTGATAGAAGTGGTTCTAGAAGAACAATTCTCTCGTAGGCAGAGAGCTGATAACTGTAAGACAACAAATTTGCCAGGAAAGAAGGTTTTGGAATCAGGGAAAAGTGTAGCGGGCATTCATGTAGGTTGGGATATTGGGGGGGAATTGGAAAGAACACATCTCTAGGGTTACTGATTGTTTCTTCTCACACACAGAGTTGACAAGGAGAGGGGTTCCCATTTTCCTTAGGTGTCAACTAAGGTCTTTTCATTTAACACAGGAAGATGCATTTGACTTCCTTCCTCAAAAACTTGCAAAGGCTCCCCACTGTTTACAGAATAAAATCCACAGGTTATATACCCCAGTGTCGGTGGCTATTGATATTTACTCTCAAACACATTTTCTGCTTCATATTCTATTTTCACATCCTTTGTAGATTAGGGTTTGTTTTGTTTGTTTGCACATAACAGAACACAAACTTGAACTAACATAAACAAAAAGGGGGTTTTATGATACAATTTTTTGTTATGATTCATGAAATCCATGGGCAGAAATGTAGCAGGGACCCTCTGAACTGAGGGTTCAAACACTCTTAGGACTCCTCTCACTCCTCTCTGCATAATTTCTTTACTATTTTATCTTTCTGCAGAATGACTTATCTTTGTATCACAAGGTGAAGAAGTGTGACTCCAAATGGAGCTACTGGTTAAGTTATTGACCTCTCTTTATAGGTTCCTGTTCTAAAATTCCAAGAGATCAAAACTGATTGGCCCCATGTGGGTCTCTGATACTCCCCTGGGGCAATAAACTGAGAACAGTGCCCTTGGGCTCTTTATACAAACATAGAACTCCCGTGGTCACTTTTTGTAGGAAAGAAGTACTCATCTGACATCCAATGGGAGGCAAGAGATTAGAGGGTGCGGGAGAGGAAAGCCAGCTACCCCATGCCCTCTTCTTAGGGCAGCATCTCTAGCAGTAGTTGCATCCTCAACATAGCTCAAGCCGCCACCTGGCATGCTGTGCTATGGTTTCAGCTCCCCCCAGGTAATTCCAGCTTTAGCAATACCACTTCCTCCCTCTAGGTTAAAAGTTCTAGTGGCTCCCTGATGCAGCTGATCTCTGAGTTGCCTCACCAGCCCCTCTTGCCTTCTTAGACCCTCCATTACCTATGTGCCTAATTCCTATATTAAATGTATTTCAATTCATACACTTATAATGGCTTGTTTCCAGTTTGGACCCTGACTAATATGACTCCCTCCTCCTTGCCATAGCAGTATGTAGACAGAGCCCTCACACACCCATCAGTCTCCTTGCCCTTTGTCACTATTTGGTGGCAGAGTAAAATTATTATTTCCCCTCAGGGGCCTTTGGATGATGCTATTGCCAACAGTACTCAATGGTCTGCCTCTACGCCTGTGCTCCTTTCAGTATTCTGAGTTTTACCTTTGTATTTGGCTGATCCTCACAAAGTCGCATACTTGCTTTAAATTGGCATCGCTGTTGTTCAGTCTCAGAGTCATGCCCGACTCTATGACCCCATGGACTACAGCACACCAGGCTTCCCTGTCCTTCACCTTCTCCCAGAGTTTGCTCAGATTCATGCCCATTGAGTTCCAATCATCTCTCGCTTTATTCTCAATGTATCGGTGGAATAAATTCAACAAACTCTCTTTTGTTATATATCTAGTGCATGCCAGGTACTTTACCAGGTGACCAAGATCTCAAGATAAATAAGACTCAGTCACTGCCCTTAGGAAGCTGCCCATTCAAGTTCTCTTAGAAATTAGTATAGCAAAAAGTTCACATTTTCAAGTCATCTTACTTCCTCTGGTGCTGCAAACAAGCACTGTCAAAGTCTCCGTCTTACCTGTCTGCCAGGAAGCTCAGAGCTGATCTGAATTCTCAGCAATAGTGACCACATTAGCCTACATAACTAGTGATTTTGCCTCTTCCTTCTTCCACATATATTATCTAATTCTATGTTAACAGCCATATTTTGTACATATCTCTGATGGTAGGGCTGCCCAAATACCTTCTATATGTTGACTGAATATATATTATAAATAATGCATCATCCGTCTTTGTAGGAAAATCTAGCATACAGGTATACAGTAGATGCTCAATAAAGAATCGATTTCTTGTCAAAATCAGAGGGTAATCTAGACCGTAATTTAATGCAATTGCTAATCTATTCATGACAATTGCTTGTGCCAATATCCTCAGGCCTCAGCTCTTTGGATTTTTCCTCATCATATTAAAAATACAGAGAACAAGCAAGCTCTTGTTTCCTGATGCCAATTAAGGCATCTTGATAGCTTCTTGAGAAAACTAATTGTCTCACTTTTTATGTCCAACATGGTGCTCAGCAATTGGACCCCCATCAGGCCATCCCCACTTGAGTGAGTATAATTTGAATCACCCTCATCATGCTTAGAAAAGCAGCCACTCTCTGGCCTCTTAATATTCAATCTGGGGGGAAAAAAATTCAATCCAAAGAGTTTTATTTTTCTTACTGTGTTTTTCTGTTCCAAGACACCTGCCTCTTGGCTGATCACGTCTAAATGTTAAAATGAAGTATCTCAGAGTTCTTTGAAGAAAAGGGATGTGGTTAACTGCTGAGTGCATTGAGTGTGCATGCTGGGGACTCCTACAGAATTCAGCTGTCTCAACCTGAGTCTCATTAGAATATACCCTGCTATATATATTCACTGTGCAAAGAGAAACTAGAGGAGCAGCTGGATTAACCAGAACATAGGCACGGCCAGGGCCTGGTACATATGTCACCAGCATAAATACCACTGACAAACTTGTCCCTCTTTCCCACTGAGCCCTAATGGGCCTCAGAATCTTTCTCAACCCAACACCTGAGGCAGGCACTACCATTGGGTCAGGTTCAGCACTTTAGAGATTCTTGTCCTCTCCTGCTTGCAGATCTCAGGCCAGAGTCTTGGATTGGGCACCTGAATCCTGGGGCACGTGGTGACAAACCCCAGGCCTAAGGGAGTAGATTCAAGGAGACAGAGGAACAGATTGTAGACACTGCATTTCAACTAAGTCTCTTGCTTCAGGGGACTATTCACCCCATGTGAACTGTTCACGCAAGCATTATGTGCTCTTTGAATTTTATTTTATCTTTTTTTTTTAATCAGAGCTAATTTTTTTTGTAATTATTTTTTCTGTTCTAATTTCACCTTTCTCTTAGACTTTAGACTTGGCCACTTGCTGCCTGGTGACACTGGGTGAATCTTTTTATCTTGCTAAGCTAGGGCCTTCTCATCGCTGAGAACATACCACCTTCCATAAGCTTCTTGAGACTGAACAAACAGTATATTTACAGCATAGAAATAAGCACCAAAAATCTGGAACCAGAAGTATATTAAGCATAGGAAGCTCTGATCTGAACCTTAGGAAAGTTCTTAACCCTTCAGAACCTGTTTTCTCATCAGAATAAAGAAAACAATAGTACTGATCTCATAGGGCCATTCTAAGGATCAAACTGGTATTCTAGTTAAAGGCTTCCCTGGTGGCTCAGATGGTAAAGAATCTGCCTGCAATGTGGGAGACCCGGGTTCAATCCCTGGGTTGGGAAGATCCCCTGGAGAAGGGAATGACTGCCCATTCCAGTATTCTTGCCTGGAGAACTCCATGGACAGAGGAGCTTGGTGGGCTACAGTCCATGGGGTCACAGAGTCGGACCTGACTGAGCAAACGACACCCACGTAGAGGGGTTACCCATAACAACATGAAAATACTCCATACGCTCTGGTTGTTTTGACACCTGGCTTCTAGCAAGAATGGACCAAATCTTAGTTCCCCTTTGCTTAACTCCTTTCTGAAATCATCTCATCTCCTCTTTTACCTCCCAGAATTAAAGTGAGAGGTGAAGCTATGTTGATCCAATTAGAAGTGAAAAACCTTCTGTCAGAGGGGAAGCAGGACCACCCAGGAGCTGCCGATGTCCTGGCCTCAGCAGATTGAGACATGGACTCTGCTCCACCTGCCTGCACCTCCATCCACCCTCTGGCCAACAACAGGCCTCTTTGGCTGGAGAACGCTCCTTCCCCACTCTCCAGGAGACAATGCATTCAGCTCCATAATTACATGCTTCTCCCCAGTCACGTAGCATTATACACCACATCACCACGCTGCCGAAAAAAAAAAAAAACAACAAAAAAAACCCAAATGCTAATTAGTCCTCAAATTATCATTGATTTGATTTGATGTTGAATAAGCTTTGCCGTTTATATTTAGGCAAGAACTTCAGATTCAAGATGCTCTCTCTCAGATGGAGGTTTTAAATAACTCCGTGGGGCCTGTCTTGCTTGCTCGGTGTGTTTACCTCAAGAAATCAGTCTGGCTGCTCTCCCTGGCTGCAGATGAATGCCAGGTTGATTGAGTGCAATGGAGGAATTATCCTCTCGGCTAGTGCTCCACCCCCGAAGCCCCTAGGGGCCCCTGAAGGCAGAAAGCCCCATCTTGCAAGAGGACAGGCTGGAGGAGGAGAAAGATGCAAGGAGGAAAGATGCTCTCTTGAATCATAAATGGCTGAAACGTCATTTCTCATTCCCATTAGATGGCACTTCTTAGTACCTACGGGGAGTCAGGCTCTTTCAGAGGCACCATCTCCTTTAACTCGGACAACAGTCTGACAACATGGGCATTTTCAGTTGTGACAGTGAGGCTCAAGAGCATGAGATGACTCACTCATTACTGAGCCAGTGAGTGGGAGAAGCTGACGCTCATCCTCCAGTCCAAGTCTGTGAGGAATGGGCCCATGCTCTCTTCTTGGTCACTTTGTCTCTTGGGTCCCCGTGTTTCCGCAGCCCACCTCCAAACCCCTCAGCCCACCTCCAAACCCCTCAGCCCTCTGTCCCACCCCAGACACTTGGCCAGCCCTTGGTTAAGTGAAAACATCATAAAAATCACTCAATGGCTTTGAGAAAATACTAAATGGTATTTGTGTGCTTTAAAAATTTCCCTTTGTGAACCAGGCTTTGAAGTGAATATGCCACTGGGAAAAGAAGGAAGGAACAATCTCGAACACCTACATATTTATTGGCAATCTAAGAACACA